CTCCACGCGAATCCTCACGATCCAGTCGAATAATGTTAAAATCATAAAAAGGAAGATCTATATCTGAAGAGAGCCAAGTTTCACAAAGAGCAAATGCATCACAATCATTATTGTGAACTAAAAACTTAAAAGAGTCTAATTTAGGAATAAGACTTCGACAATTCCACTGTAGAATAGTGATCAAATCCCCGACCTCGTTTGGAAAATTATCCATCGAAGGAGATGATAGCTGCAAGAAGGGGCCATTTTGAAGTCAATTGCTTCAAGAAGGATTTCACAGTGGGAAGCAATGTGAGGACAATGCTTTTCAGAGGATCAGAAATATTCAGGTACTTGAGAATATCGTCCACAATTTTATCAAATGAGAACAACCCAGATGAAGAAGGGGCTTCTGTTCTTAAAAATGGGACATCAGGGGTTTTGGATGTCCCCGGGAGAGGTGGAAAATCCTGGGTATAGTCAGTTCTTCTGAATCCAGGAGGAGTAGAAACTTCCTTTTTTCCACCACTCCTTGATTTGGGCAAGCTGATTTGGGGTTCTTCATTCTCAACTTTCCGCGAACGAATGCGTTTTCGTTTCCGTGCTGAAAAACAGAAAGAAGTTCCCTCATCAGCCAAGTCAGAGTCAGTCTCGTCATCTGACAAAAGAGAAAAGGGATTTTTGTCGTTGGTCGATGGCGTGGCCGTCTTAAGCATTTCTGCAAAAGACTGCCGGGAACGTTCCTTAAGTGAGCGTTGTAATTTCTCCCCGCGTTGTTTGTACACCGGGCATGACGAGATACCATGAGGAGTTCCCTTACAGTACACGCATTTTGGTGCGGTAGCTGCACAGGTGTCATCCCCATGCTTCTCTCAAATAAATAAACTGTTATAGCGCACAATAAATCAATAACATAATAAGATATTGATAGTAAAATTTGATATTATTTTGCTCTGGTTCTACTATTCCCCTCTACCCGGGAGGTTATTACGCCAAATGGATCCCAGCGTTGTACATCTTACCTAGTATCAAACTTTCTGACAAGTGGTTCAAAAAATTTGGTATTTGGTAATCGCAAAATAGAACAGAATGGTAGTTCACACAGCAAAAAATATTTTTAATATTATATCCAAGAGGATGCACTTCAATCATGCCGAAAATCTCATGTAATTTTTATGGTTACAAAAATAAACTAATGCAGTGAAAGCAGCGTAATGTCAGTTCATGCACTGTATTTATAATAATTTTGTCATTTTTGGCCCACTGATATTACACCATATTTTCGACACGATTGAAGTGCATCCACTTTGATGTGATATTAAAATTAATTTTTTGCTGTGCAGTGTCGAAGATTTCAGCTCAATTCATCGTAAGGGAACAAAGTTACAACCAGGGTTGCTTTCACTCACATGCTATAAAAAATTGTTTTTCGGAATTATGAAATCATTAGATTTTATAATCATAATTAGTACTTGTAAGTTACAAGAAAAGGTTGTTAACTAAGTGTTTGCACATAAAACCTGTCATTATTGCTTTCAGTGCGTCATAATCAGCGATTTTATGATTCGTGAGCGCTCACTCTGAGTGAACGCTCACGAGTCATAAATTCGCTGATTGTGACGCAGTGAAAACAAAATTGACAGGTTTTATGAGTCAAGTATATACTTTCCTACCTATTCTTGTATCTGACAAGTACAAAATATCATTATAGCATCTACAGGGCTGATAGCAGTGTTAAGCAATAAAAATCATTTTAAAAAGTTACCAAAATGTGACTAACATTATCAGAAAACTTTCAGAAATAGAATTATGCAAATTGATTTGTCAGTCACTCAAAAAAATGTAGGCATCGATTTTCTATCTGTACGAATTCGTCAAAAGTTTATATTGCAAGATCTTGCACAACTAGATTAAAAACTAACAACACTGTGTAACACGACGTCCAATAACAGAGATATTTTACCATATTTGAAATGATTATGGTCTCCTGAATTAAAGTCTAGAGTAAACCTATTCTCTAACACGTCACGCGTTTTAGATATGAACTATGATAATCTTTATGCGATCTGCGAACTTGCATCACGAAGGTGCTCCGCGTTTGCTTGGTTACCTAATAAGAAGACATTACCTAATTATTAGAACTATTTACGAAGTGAGGAATGAAACGTCGAGATAGCGTTTTAAAATATTAAATAACATAGTTACCCAGATCTAATTCTTGAATTACTAAAAAAAAAACAGAATTTTTCTACAACAGGAGTTGCTATTCATGTGCCGAACATCTACTGTGCCGAACATCTACTGGACCGAACAAGGCTGAATAAGTCATTAGGTCGTCTTGGGACAGGTTTTTCCGAATGTTTCTACAATAAAGCACAATAGTTTCACTAACCTATGATCCTAATTTCACGCATTTTTCGAAAATACAACCCAAATGTATAATGGAAACATTTTAAATTGAGCTAGAAATTCAGATAGGTATTATTGACTAGTGTAAAGGAAAAAAATATGATTTAAAAAAAATTTACAACATCTTTAGAGAACTATTTTAATTCACTCTGCAATGCTCTTTTCATTATTAAAAATTCTTGCTAGGAATTGCCTGAAGAATTCTCCTGAAAATTCACTTGGATTTCTCCTCAGCATTTACTTAATATTATGCTGAAATTCCCATGGAATTATCTTAGGAATATTTTTTTTAGTTCTGCTAGGAAATTCCAAAAATTCTTCGAAATGCTGATAATGATGATGATGATGGTCCCATCTCTTACCCCTACAAAGGTTTGAGCTGGACGATTTATGTTTAAGATTATTAAATATGACATTTCAACCAGGTTAGCAAACAAAATCGATTACATCTCAAAACCAAACGCATTATTTTATTCTGCATGCGCTGTAATCTCGATATTTGTGTTGCATTGGCCAGAAATAAAATGGAAGGGCAAAAGTCTAGATGAGGAGAGATGATTGATTTGTATAGCTGTACTTGACTGGCAATAGTTAAATCGTTTTTCAGTGGACATAGAATTCCATTCTTCTTGGCAATTTTCTTGATGAGATTGTCAATGTGAGAGTTGAACTTAAGTGTGTCATCAATAATCACGCCAAGATATTTAATCTCCCGAACGCGATGAAAAGTCTCATCATCAATAACAACAGAGACGTTCTCATTTACTCGATTCCGCGAAATTTCCATAAATTTAGTTTTACTTGTATTCAATTTCAACTGCTTATACTTCAACCATCTACTTAGAGAACGCAAATCTTCATTCAAGTGTAAAATGGCATCATATAAATCTTTAGCTGCATTGAATAACACAGTATCATCTGCGAAAAGATTAATATCGCAAAATCGTAAAACAAGTAATTAATATACATAATAAATAACAGGGGCCCTAATACACTTCCCTGGGGCACTCCAAGGTTATTCCCCACGGGACTGGAAGCAGAATCATTAAAAACAGTCCGCTGAGTTCTGTCAGACAATTAGCTTTCAAACCATTTATATGCAGTACTCGTAATTCCAAAGCGCTTGATTGATCTTAACAATAAGGGCCTAGACATTGTTTCAAAAGCGCGTTTAAGATCAAAAAAAAACAGCAACAATCGTATCTTTACACTCCAAGTTATTTTTCCACTTCGCTAATACCAAATTCAACGCGGTTTTACAAGAATGGCCTTCCCGATATCCCGATTGTTCTGGTATCAACAAACTATTACTATTTAAATACTCCAACAGCTGGCCTTAAACAACAAGTTCTAAAACTTTCTCTAATGTGTGGAAAATGTTGATGGGACGAAACTCTTCGGCTTTAATCGTTCCAGCAACTTTTTGAATAGGGACCACTAAGGATTCCTTCCAAATTTGTGGCACATGTCTAGTTTATAATGATTCATTTATAAGGTCCAGCAAGATGTGGCCAATGACAATGCTGCTGGGATTCTCCTTTGAATTATCTGAAAAAAATAAAACCAAAATATCCTTAGAATACTCTTCGAAATCCACTTGAAATTTAGCTCAGAATTTTCTAAGGGTTTTCTAAGAAAGCCGTTGGAAGTATTCTTAAAATTCTAATTGAATATATGTTGGAATTACCGTTGAATTTTGCTCCTTTCCTTGGTATTCAACTCACAACTATGAAATTTTCACCTGAAAAATTACTGTCCGAAGTACCATGGTATTACATATCTCTAGAATCTATTCTAACATCTGTTCAAAACTGCTTTGGTTAAAAGTTCTTTTAATAGTTCTTTAAAGTAACTGTATCCAAGGGTCTTGAGATTTTTTAAAGAGAGGAAGAAGCACCTTTTTTTCTATTTGGCATCGAAGTTCACGAGTTTATCCCGGTGACATCGAATTTCCGGCATTTTCCAGTTATCCCGATTTTCCGGTCACACTGATTATTTAATTTAGCAGCTGAATCTGGACTCCTACAAGGTGCGAAATCTCAAATAAAAGTGTGCTTTGATGATGCATCGTCTTGGTTTCTTCTGCGTACTTTTTCGTAAGTTAGTTTAATGAACTTCCAACTAAGAATTAAGCATAGTGTACATAGCACTGTTATAATTTTTATTTATTTTTTAACAAATTTTACATTGCAATGCAAGCGGGAATGGCGAAAATAGTGACTTTAGTGACTTTTTGTCGAAAATAGGGACTTTTTAGTGACCACCTTCAAAAAAGTGACAAAGTCACTAAAAAGTGACCCGCTATCAGCCCTGCATCTAATGATTTCATAATTTTGAAAAATATTTTGTATAGCGATGGGAGTGGAAGTAACCCTGGTTACAACATGTCAAAGTTGCCCATTTAGGCGTTTTCCGAGATAGCTTCTGCATATGTAGCCATCGATGAATTCAGTTTGCATAATTTTCTCAATGTATTAATCAGTATGAATGTAGGACGTCTATAACATAAGGCATCTTATATTTAGGAATAAGCATTGCATGCATCGCATCTAGCATCGTCTTGGGTAATGGTTTCATCTAGTTAACTAAAAAAAAGCAACGTTCAAACTTACTCGTGACTGAATGATTGCGCTGCGCTTTTGCTCTACTACTGTTGGTGGGATGGCGAAAAAGTAGTATGTTGCACTAGTGGTGATGATTGGTGGCGGTAGTAGTAGGTACAAATAAAGGGTAACCGACAACTACAGCGGTACAATCGCAAATTTCCTTTTAATTGCTGCTGCCGAATTGTTGCGCGCAGTAGTAATGATGTATGGTTGAGATGTTGAGGGATGTATAACTCGTGTCCAGAAACGATTTTTGTGTTGCTTTCGCTGATTCGATTTTTGATTGTGTTACAAGCTCACTCACGCGGTTTTGTTCTAACTGAATTAATTGGCACACTCACACTCACAGTTTTTCAGTAAAAACGCGATCTACAATGGTCTTCAAAGTTCAGTTATCGAGGGAGTTTTGTGAGCGAGCAGTTAACTAAAAAGCAATCTTGAATAAGAGCACAAAATCAGCGGTAAAATATTTCGCGTAGCACTGGAATTAAAGAGAAGAGAAAATACAACATGGAACAGCTGGCAAATATTGATAACAATTTTATAAGATGGTTAGGAGTGCATTCTTTAATTAAAAAAGAGATTTATTAACTTTGTTAATAACAAAAAATGATGTAGATGAAATAAATGAATGAATGAATGAATGTCATCTTGTCAATCAGTTTCAAACATTGAATTCAGGGTATTCCTCAAACCAGTTCCGAGCTCTTCTAGCATTTGGTTTTCACATTCAAAACAGCACAAAAAATCCAATTTGAGATTCACTGACTGCGACTGCGAGCAATTCAATTACTATCTGTTTTTGTTTACATTTATATTCACACCAGAGGGATAGACTCGCACCGTACCCGTGAAGTATTTACACACATAAGCATCCGCATATTGATGTTTATTATTTTCTGAATTTAACCGACTGGTCATGCTGATTACGGTTCACGGCACATAGAGGAAAGAACCGCTTTGCCGCTTAGTGAGTGCGAAATAATAAAAAAAAATCCATAGAACGTAACACAACAAAGAAGGTGTAGGTGATGTAGAGTTCAGAAACCGCTTAGTCTCCGGCGACCGGTAGCTGCACGATTCACATAAAATACGCGTGAATGCAAACGGCCTAGACAAGGTCAATGGTCGCCAGTCTGACGGAGCGAGTTTACCGTTGTTTTGCGATGCATGATCAAAACTGACTTCCTACTTGTGCATTTTTATCAAATTGCTTAGCGGAAGCAAGTTTCGACTGAGATTGTGTCCTTCTTAGATTAACCTGTTGCCACACTTCTTCCAAGAAATTTGCATCCATTTATCTTATCGAATCAACATTCGGATAACCCAGACAAAAAGCAAGCAAAAATTTACTGAGTAAACAAATGTCTTGCGTGTTGTTATCAGCTCTTTTTTTTATCAAGCACACAAACTTGGTACTTATTTCTTTGCTCCAAATTGCGACAAACTGCACCTATTTTTATCTCACACACTCTTATCTCCTATTCACTGCCTTTGTTCACAGCAAAACCCAAACACCTTCTCAGTGTATGTATTCCACTACCTGTCAGACACTGTCAGGAGTGGACGTGAGACACTCTTTCACTTTCAGTTATCTGAGATGGCGGCGCCAGCGATACTCGTTGAATTCGTAAACAACAGCTTGTCTTGACACTAGCTATTCGATTCGATTCACATACGATCCGAGATGACGACGACAGTTTAACAAACAGATTATCACCGTCCCGTCGCAGACCGCAGATTGCAGCACAGGCACGATTGTATGTTCAGGCGGTCTTCTCTTCTATCGGAAGTACGAAAGCAGACTGATGCGGCATACGGTTACATTCCGCAACCGGTCTTACATTACGCAAGTTGTAATCTAATTAGCTTCTGCGGGTAGCCGGTTATTTAGGTTCACCCCTAAGCTAGTGGACACCTTTGAAAAGCTACGAAACAGGTGGCGTGTGATACAGTGAGACTTTCTATACATGGTTGGATTCAGGATAGTCACTTTTTTTAAACATGTGTGTTTGCAGATTTTCCCGCTTTTCCTGGCAGGATTCCATATTTAGAACCCATTTCAAAATTTTAAGATCTGAGACCTGGTAGTGTTCAAGCTACCTCAAGGTTTTACCAATGCCCAGGATGAGACATGGTAAAAATTATCACAGCTGCTTGGACTTGGTTGAGCTTACAGGAAAACCTTTCCAGATAATTTCGATAGCAATGGGGAGTATGATCCATCTCTAATAATTCATTCAGTGCATTAACCTTGTAAAACGGTTTGACTGTAGCGCAAAAATCACCAGTCGTGCAGAACCACCATTGATAAACGAAGCCCCACAACTGATTTGCGTTGTTTCAACCTTCTCTTACTTCGGTGATGACACAGCTGAATGTGTCCTACGATTGCATATAAGTATATACGCGTACATAAACAATATAACATATGCACACATTCTGAAGTTAACGATCCGGCAAAAACAACAAAACCAAAAGGGTGTCAAATGCCACTTCCATTTTTACCCAGACTGAATATGCTTGGGGGCAGAACATAGTGAATCAGTACATTTCTGGTTGTTACTGATACCGATTGAAAATCTATTCCACTCTCTTCGGAAGGGGGCACCGGGAAGGCTAGGGGTTAATTATCTGAACCCATTGGGTTCGATTGATGATTTTGTGGTTTTGTTTTTGCTGCTGTAAAGGTTAAAGGGAAAGGTTATGTGGGTAGCACCTCGTGCAGAGGATTCACGTATGGTAGCCGGTGCACAAAGAACATTTTTGCGTCACATGTGTGAACACGTATTATATCTAATTATGGGTAGATTATCCGGATCCCGAAAGTATCACGGTCAAGTACTGTGCCATTACCGGAGCACACGTTTGATGATCTCGTCTGCAGCCCTCGGTTATTGATTTTCAGTTTGACTTCGCGTGAGTTTTATCAATTGTGAAGTGAAAACAAACGAAGGTCTGACACTTGCCATCGCAGAGTTATGAAGAGTGCCAATTGGCACGTTGCTGGTTTCATTGTAGTGTCGTCGTTGTCGTTACGGTGTGCTTATCTTATCGTTATCACCCATCGAACGTCAATCCTTTTGGTGTGAATGACAGCTTTGAAGGAAGGCATTGGATTTTTGTTTCGAGTTCCGAACAAATACCATAACTAGCTTTGTGTTTGATTTGCAGATAGATAAAATATAGTTATTATTATTATTTAGCTTTATTAAGGTAAAATATAGTTTCTGTTACCATGGAATTTACTAGACAAAACGCTTAGTGAATGTTGTGAATCCAACTCCGCAACATTTACTTTTTGTGGACTTCTGGGCATCGCACCACATACGGATACAACAATCCTCTGGATAGATGTTCTAGACGATTTAATGACGTGTATGTGGTATTTGATTTTAATATTAACAGACTAGTTAAATAGAATTAATTATTTTAAACAGTCTGTGTGACTATTCTGCCAAAGATGGTGAACAAATAAACAAATTACACAACTTATCTGTTATTAACATATAAGTAACAGAAGCTGTCGGCGCTATGACGCTTTAAGAGAAAAACAAATGCATACAGCCTTCGGTAAAATGTGTACATGTCCTGCAACGTGACCCAGTTACAGTGACAGTTACGTAGCAGAGGTATTACGACTTGCACGGTATTTTGGATAACAAAGAACCTGGCTCCTTGCGGAATGTTGCAGCAAACGAAAATGAAAGAAGAAGGCATCTCCTACTCACATGCTGCTTGCATGAATGTGGTGTGTCGTTGCCATGTTGGTATTAATTTGTCGTCGCCTGCTAACATAAAAGAGTTGGGGATCTGTCTCGGCGCCGACTGGGATGATTCTTCACTGGATTGGATTTTTTTTGCTCTCTCTGCTTTAGGTATGACAATGTGGAAATACGTGCAATAGTGATTATCGAAATATTAGCACAGATAAGCGTTTGGAATTAGAATTTGAACTAACACGTATAACGTACAATCAAATAATAAATAAATTGGCATTTGCTAATTTATCTCGTCAATGTTAACCTTGAAAACTGCGAGAATATATAGCATTAAGGCTAGAACAAGTTGCATACACTTGCTATATTTACAATATCTGCAACCAGTGACCCAGGCGCATCAGGCCATAATGCCAGATAAAAGCGTTTGACAATGTCTTGCATGATGGCCTGGTATACAAGTTACACAATACTAAATCATCATTCGAAAAAGGATGTTCCGAGTCTCTCCAAGAATGGCACTGCATCAGATGCCTTCAACATCGATGCGGGTGTTCCGCAAGGAAAGTATCCTTAGGCCCTTCCTTTTTAATTTGTTCACCCCCGACATTCCGGCTCTCCCTAATGGTGGTAAGTTATCTCTGCTCGCAGATGACACATCCACCGTTTATAAGGGAAGGATCATTGGAGCTCTAACTGCCAAGCTTCAGAGGGGCTTGGATGTCCTATCTGAGTATTTCAACAACTGGAAGATCCGTATCAACGCGACGAAGGCTCATCATTTCTCCACGCTCAATATCACCTAGACTTGTAATAACAGCAAGCTAATTTTCAGGGAACATTGACAAAACTAAACCAAGTGTAACATCTTGATAAGATCACTGTATTCATTTATCAACAGGAATCGAATACAGTATGGCAATCTGGGAGAGTTGCGCAAAATGCCATCATCTCAAACTGCCAAAGATCCAACATAAGATCCTTAACGATCCTGAACAGTCCTACAAGCAGGGTTGCTTCCACTCACTTGCTATAAAAAAATATTTTTCGGAATTATGCAATCATTATTTGATATAATGATTTGTTGGACTTGTAAGTAACAATAAGAGGGTGTAAATTATGTGTTTGATTAATAAAACCTGTCGATTTTGCTTTCAGGGCGTCACAATCACCGATCTTATGATTCGTGAGTGAATCGATGAGTGAACGCTCACGAGTCGTAAAATCGCTGATTGTGACGCACTAAAAGCAATATGGACAGATTTGATGTGTCAAACACATACTTCACGACCTCTTCTTGTAGCTTACAAATTCTAATTATCTGTATTCCATCTCATGATTTCATAATTCGGAAAAACATTTTTTATAGCGAGTGAGTGGTAGTAATCCTGCCTACAAGGACTCGAAATTCTGAGGTCCATCGCCTGGCTGGTCTTCAGACACTAGAAGAACGGAGAGATGAACTAGCCTAAGGCTAAAAATCCATTAAATAAAGTCTAAAAAAAAAACTAGAAGAACGGAGAATATTTATCATGGAAATCTAGCACTGTAGGCTAAGTTATTTGAAGTTAAGGTAGGTTATCAAATTGTTTAATTCAAACTAAATATGCCCCAAGGGGAAAGAATGTAAACTAGTTGAAAAACATAAAAAAAATGTTATATGATAATTAATGATTAATCCAATCCAGAGGTGACGAGCCCTTCAGGATAAATCAATTGAAATGTAGCAGCAAATGTAAACGTGAGTCAAAGGAAATAAATT